GCGCTACACGAATATCAAGATTGATATAAAATTTGACATAATGTCACGTGACATTCTATAATTAGACAATTTAAAATACAATTAACTTTTTTATCGAGCCCTAATAGTGTTTGTTGGATATTGTGTGGTTAAAAAGTAAAATTTTTGATTTACGTTTAATACTATTTATAGAAAATTGTGTGGTTGAAAATAAGTTTTGAAAAAAATGAATTTTTGAAAAAATTGGAGCCAAACATAACCAATCATTTACTGCCACATGCAATTATGTCAAACTCTCTGTCAAATTCTTCTGACAAAATATCATTTTTCCTATTTTGTTTTGCATTGTAAATATGATGAAGCTCTAAGGCAGAAGTGAGCACTGTCCGATTCGGTCCAATTTTGAAGGGAACTGAATCGAACCAAGTATCAATTAGAATCTTAGAAATGGAACAATTGGTTCTATTTCCAGCTATAGAACCGAATCGGAACCGAACCAACCAATTCCGATTCGGTCCGATCTGGATCTTAATATTAAAAAAATTTAAAAATAAAATATGAAATTACTTGTCAAATTGAAAATAGAAAAACTAGAGTATGAAATCATTTGTTATTCTTGTAATCTATTAGCATAAAGAATTAATTGAACAAGACCGAACAAAAATTCACTTTAAAACTCAAGTTCAACTTATAAAAGCAAAAAAATGATAAACTATTAAATACAGTATTAACGGTAAAATCTCGATCGAAAATTAATTTTTAAAAAAAATCTATATAACAATAGTTTGTTGTCTTTAGTAATTCTCAAGAATCAAGATTCTTGATGGCCGGTCATTTTGAAACCAACAAAAAATTGAATTCTTATGAAATATTGAACTAAAAATATATTTTTCCTAATGTATTGCATTAAAACAATGATTTTTTTAAAATATTTATAAAATTATTTAAACTTGAATTTCGATTACCTATTAAAGGAAAGAAGTGGCGTATGAAAAGTGGAATTTTAACATGAGATAATTTTGGGGTCTAGTATTCAAAGATCTAGTGCACCTAATGCAAGTAAAAAGAAAAATTTGGGAGGACCGAATTTAATGTTTGTTCTCAAAACAGTACCGAGAACCGGACAGAAAATAATCGATTTTCGATGTATAGTCCTAAAATCAATCCATTTAATAGAGGAACTGGAGCCGAATCAATCGATTCTATTTGTTCTGATCCGATTCTACTGATTCTGGGAAAAAATGTCCATCCCTAGTTGGAGGTTCCCATAATTTTTCTTGTTGATTAGAAGTGTAGTTTATTAATTGATTAGGATAATTAGTTGATTGATTTTATCCTTTCTCGATCTGTATTTATCTTTACTTAANATAATATTTTTGAAAATTGTTCTTCAATTATAAACCCATTAATCAACTCGTGCACGAATTCACATTTACGATCTCGTATTTGTTTTCATTTCCTCTTGAACCTAAATCAAAACGAGAATATCAATATTTATCTTGCTTGATTTCGAGACAAATTAATAACCTATTAGTTGTGTTATAGTCTAATGTGTAACGTCTTATTTATATTTATTTATCTTGCTTGGTTACTTGGAAATTTTTTATTTTTATTTTTATTTTTGGTGTTGAGGACCAATTTGAAATAAAACAAAAATTACTTTGGGTCTTATCACAATTTAGAATAATATTGGGTTGAAATTGTAAAATACTCCACAATTGCAATAAAAACAATAAAACACAACACATTTTGAGCTGTCAAAAGCTCATTCCAAGGAATGGCCAACACTTTTCTCCGCAAGACTTCAACTATCCAGGTAGATAGAGAGAAGAAGGAGAAGAAGTTCAAGAAACCCTAAAAACCAAGGGTTTGTTCTGAATCAAATCGCCGAGATCTTTATTAATTATTGATAATTAAGGCAAGTTATTATTTGATTATGTAAATCTTTCTACGGTATGTGATATAAAAAAAGTCTAATATTGTTAATGAATTTTTTTTTTAATTTTTATTTCAGTGTAATTTTTGTGGGCGATGAGGAAATGTGGGTAGGATGAAACTGTTATATTTATGTGTGAGCTATTGTGGACAGGGTGACGAAGGAATAGTAGATGGGAAATTAAATCCGAGTTAATTCAAGGACGTATGATATTGGAAAAGGAAAAAAAATTAATTTTTTTTTATTGCGGATTGACATGGATTAATTTGACAAAATTGTTATCTTGAAATGTTAGTGAGATTCTGTAGAATTTCTGTAAAAGATTTGAGTTTCATAAATAGAGGTGCAACTTGTACTAATGCTTATTAGTAAATTGTTGTGCAATAATTTGGCTAGTTGTTACGAATGAGATTATGTGTTTATAAGTTTCCAACTTGAGTTCGCTTTGTCTTCATTTGAAGGAAAATCATGAAATGTATTTTGAGGATTGCTATTCACTGCACTGCCAATGCATTTTTCGGTTCTACTGGTGACTGAAAGAAAACCAAGAACATGAATGGTTTCATAAGTGGAATTTGTGCATTGATGCTTGTGTGTTAACTCTTAGGTTGAAAGCAATCCATGAACATGATCTGTTCCACAAGTGGAATTTGTGCGTTGATGCTTGGATGTTAACTCTTAGGTTTTCCTCTTTGAGAGGATGGTCTTGTTTGGAGCTATAGATAGGATAATTGTGGGTTTCGTTTTATTTTCATTCATTTTGGTAATACCATTGGCACTGGTTAGGTTGAATGGTCTCGATGAATGGATAACTGTATCATTCACCTACTGAATCAGTTCACTGCTAATTATTGGGTATGACTTCGTTAAAATTGTATCTGTGAAGCTAATACTATATGGTAGAATGTTTCAATTGGCAATTGAGTACACTATTGATGTTTATTTTTGTAATTAGAACTTGGGTGGTGAGGAAGCTGTCAAGGAGTGTGTATATGCAATTTTGAAGGATGGGTTATGCTTGCTAGCCTTTGACATTTCCATGATCATACAAGCTAGTTTGGCTTTGGATGGCCGATCTATATTCTTTCTATTTCAAAGCATATAATCACCTTGGCTTTTCATAAATAAATGTCATAGATAGGATCCCCCATCTCTTATTTTGTGACTTTTGGGCAATTAATCATACTTAAATTAAGTACAGGACAAGCAACTTGTTGTATAAATGGTGCTAGGCAGATGGGTTTGACAAGGTTGTCTCTGAATATGATGGGGTCGTTCACAGTGAGCAAGATCCTCTGCTCTCCCTTCTTTAGTTGCAAGCCAGATATCGTTTGTTATTATTTAGAGACCAATTTCCCACTTTGGGTATATTTTGTTGATTTTAGATGTGGTAAACTGAATATGTCACCTTTTCAAATTTCCATTCTGGCTGTGTTAGTTCTATCTTGTATCCACATGATCTGACTAGTTTCCTTCTCCACTTCATGTGCATGTGTTTTAGGGTGCGGTGTCATCCACAATCACATGATTGTATTATATTTCTATTAACTCCGTGTCTGGAGATCGCTAGGTCTTCCTGTATTTATGTCGATTGCCAAGCGCTTCCTATGTTATGTGTTGAATAAAAATATGTAAGCATGGTTATGTATCTTCGAATTGGGTTGGGAAAGAAATTGTTGGATGATGTATGCTTAGATTACAATTTTTGTTTCTTTGCTATCCTCACTTTTTGTAGTAACCTGATATCTTGATGTCTTATTGCGTTGATTTGTTTTCTTGATTCTGTCAGATATTACATGTTATATAAACGTGAGATTTTTTAAGTTGAAATAGTTTCCACGGCACTCCCCCATTATGAATTTTAGCAAAGTTTGTAAGCGATGAATTTCATGAGATCAGGTTATGCTCATCCATCAATTACTTTCATAAATATTTTGCTCATTAGATATTATTATTATTCTTGACAGGAACTGGTTATCTTCAGCTATGGAAAATTCCAGGCCATCCAGCATCAGAAATATTATGCATGTTGGAAAAAATTCTTTGCTGCCTCCTAAATGTCCATTCCCTAGCATATCCCCAGCGTACGTTGAATACATCCCTAGTTCAGCAATTGCCCGAAAAGGTCTTCCAGCACCTAGAAATGGTAATCCACAACATCAACGTGCTTCCTCTGAAAGCTTTTTGATAGAAGAACAGCCGTCTTGGCTTGATGAACTCCTCAGTGAGCCTGAAACACCTGTGCATAGAGGAGGTCACCGACGCTCATCAAGTGATTCCTTTGCATATATTGACACAGCTAATGTTGGATACATGAATGGTGTAGCTCAAGATGATAACAAGTTCAAAAATTTAACTTCAGTGCCTTCATGGGGATCTCAGGACTTTGATCTTTACAGAGATATAAGACATGGTTCTTTCTACACAGACCCAAACTCTTCAGGCACAACCAAGAATAGGACATGGGATGCACCTGTGAATCCAGTTGCATCATCTCATGGCCGTCCTGCTCCTAAGGACAATGCCATAGTTCAAAATGCAGCATCATCGAGTACTTCCCCAGAAACAGACAAGAATTCATCTTCTTCAACTGAAAAGCTGGATCCACTTGAATCTGATCCTTATGACCCAAAAGGTTCTTCTGAGAGAAAGGACTCTGATCATGCCAAACACTCTGTGTCTGATACAGATACCAAACGGGCGAAGCAGTATGTTAACTCAACTTGACACTTTACCCGACAAGTTACAGCAATTGGCTTTTTAACTTTCGTTGATATAATTTTGTAGCCTTCATTTGCAAAATTTATTAACATTCATAAATTGTCAGACTTTATTTTTAACCACACATTTGACATTCCAATGGAGCAACAAGTACTATCCACTTATCCACCATTCATTTCTATCTATTTATAAATTGAATAGTATATAAATTCTTCCCTAACAGAGGCATATCTGTCTGCTGTTTTTTCATTTGTCGCGTGCTTGTTTTGGATTTGGGCAGACACCTAAATCTGTGGATTAATCTTATTGTTTGAATCCTTGTTTATTGAGATCCATACCATCAATTTGAGGTAATTCACACGAATGATACAAATTTATGTTCAGGCATTTTTTATAAATTGCATTAGATGTGGGTGAAGCCTAGCTTTATATCAATCTGCTCTCCATGAACCATTATGTTAGACACCATGAATTATGCTGAATATGGCTTAGATTGAACTTAAATGCATCATTTTAAGCTTAGAATATGTTTTTGAATAATTAGATTTTATATGACATGGGAGTGGGTTTGCTAGAGAAGGTTTGTGAAGAACTAGGATCTCCGTCTTCTCATTCTCATCATCGAAATGGATCTTCAATTTGTGTACACAAATCAAGCCACTTTTGAAACCCATTCTGTACTCTTTTTTCACGTAGAATCAGAGACAAACGAAATTGTGAATTTGAATTGCTGTCACAATACTCTGAAGACGTGTTCTTGAAAATCTTGTTCATCTTATTGTTGAAATGGTTTTTGTACAACTTCAGTTTAAACTCTGCGAGTAATATTTGTCTGAAAAATTAACCAGTTTTATAATTGTATTTAATTATATTTTTATTTTGACTTAGCCTGTGGACTCTGGAGTTGATATTTGCATCCCCAGCTGCCCCATTAAAAAAAAGCTTGACTTTTTCATATTCCATGAGTTAGAATCTCTCAGTATACACGATATTTGTCTTATTATGGTGATGTGTGCTTTGTACATTTTGAAAGCGCTACTGAAGCAAACTGAAATATGAATCATAAATCAGAAGCATCAGTATAAATATAGAGGATATAGATATAATGCTGTAATGCCTGGACAGTCATAGAATCTTGGTACTTCCAATGATATTTTTTCTCCCTTTTTGATTCAAATGAACTGATCTCGTATAATTTGACCTTCACAATAAAAAATTCCACATCATGTCATGAGAACTTGGTGCTGTTTTTTTGTCCGCTTATTATGTTTCACTCAATTTCCTTGATCATTTTTGATTGTAAATTACGAACTTCGGTAAATAATTAGTGATTCAGTAAGCTTAGAACTTCATTTCTAATGCAGGCAATTTGCACAACGCTCACGGGTCCGAAAACTTCAATACATAGCTGAACTGGAAAGAAATGTGCAAGCTCTACAGGCAGATATTCCCCCTTGAGAATTTTTAGTATGGATCTTACCTTGACATGCTGTATCTCTAAAATTGCTGATATCACTTTTTTGTTGTTCATAAATGCAGGCTGATGGTTCTGAAGTTTCTGCTGAGCTCGAATTTGTCAACCAGCAGAAGCTTATACTAAGCATGGAGAATAAAACCCTGAAGCAACGATTAGAAAGTTTAGGTCAAGAGCAGCTTATCAAGTATTGTAAGTTCTCTTCCCACAAATTAAACTTACAGGTTGTTAGTTTGTTATTTAGTGTTAATTATGGATATCTGGGGAAAAAACTTAAAAAAGTATTTTTGGGAAGGGTTTATAAATGGTAAATTATGAATAGATAGAAATGAGTGGTGGATATGTGGGTAGTACTTGTGGGTCCTTCAAAATGTGTGGGTAAAAAGTGGCTTGAATGTTTATTAAAAATTTTTGTATACATGAGCCAATCATAGGCTTATTTTTACGCATAAGGTCTTGGAAAGGGAATTGAAAGAGTAGGTGCTTAATATGAGCTTTAAAAGGTATCTTCAAGAGGTTTGATATGTTATCATGCTGAACTGAAGAGTTTAGAGCCTTCTTTTAGTTGTATATTAAAGCATCAACTATTGGCGCATTGTAAAAGACGATCCTAGCCCACTACAGGGTGTTGGATTCTCTGTAATTGTTAATTTGTAAGTTGGTCCACAAATTGTAACAAATTGAATTTTTCCATATGTAAAGCATAAAAATAACACATTTTCCCCTCTGAGATCTTTGGATTAGTACCCACTAGGGTGTATTTGCATCAAATTTAAGAAGACAGCAGACCCACGCTTAATTCTGACTTAGGTTCCAAGTATATGTTCTTTTAGATGTCTGACGGGAGGCACGAGTCACCTGCATTAACATGTTTCTGTTAAGATATAATTCTGCCCTTCGCAATAAACTGACAGAATCATAGAATAGTGAATTTTGAATATGGATATTATAATATACAACATTGGAAATCTAGCATCACCTTGGTCTTTGAAAATGACTTGTATTAGAGAGCAGCAATTGGACCGCAGAAAAGTTTATTACTCTTGAGATTCTTCTGAATTAAATTATGGATGCTGTGTGCAGTTGAGCATGAAGTATTGGAAAGAGAAGTTGGAAGATTACGAGCCCTGTATCAGCAGCAGCAGCAACAAAATCAACAGCAGCCATCATCTAGCCATCGACGTGCTAAGAGCAGAGATCTGGACCAGCAATTTGCTAATCTTTCTCTTAAACCCAAGGAAGCAAATGCTAGTCATGATACGGTTTCTGGGTATATCTAGCTTGAGTTTTTATGGTGCCTCCTAACCGTTCCTTGACTGATGTCACCATCCCTTGCCAATGACAAAAATCATGGTTCACCTTTCCTGGTGTCAAGCCGGATTCTTCTCTGAGCTCAAACTTGGTGCCTGGTCTGTTTATCTTGTGCTTTGCCGTTATGTTATTTGTGTTAGTATTTGGCAATTTTCTTTGTTAAAAGTAGTGTCGCCATTTGCGCCTGGTAGTCTGTGCTGGAAAATAGTTGTTCTGGTGGATGACTCACCTGAGGTGGTTCTTCCAAACATGATTGATGTCAAAGGCCTTGTACGTCTCAAGTGATAACATTGATAAATTTGCTTTCACCTTTTGTCTTTGGAAACTTTGCCATAGACCGGAATTTGGTTTATGAAATCTCAAAATTGTTGATTTCCTTGGGTACTTATGTCGAGATTTCACGGAGACCTATGAACGACCAATATATTTCAAAGACATGTTAGGTGCGTAGTATTAGACACTGACACTAAAATGAACGAAGTTTTAGATCTTTTTTCTTTTGTAAAAGTTGTCAGGTCTTTGGGTTCGTTAACCATCTCTCAATTTTCTTGAAGTCTCTTTAGAAGCGATCTCTCTCTATCTTAATAAGCATGAATTTTAATGCTATCTTTTCATATTTATGCCTAAAACTTCTTGTGCCAAAGCACTACTTCACATTTCAGGCTTTGTCAAATAGGGGTTGAATCAATATCAAGGACTTAAATTTTAGCTAGGAAGAATTTATAAGTAGATAGAAATGAGTGATAAACAAGTGGATCCATTTGAATGTGTGGTCGAAAATTATGCACAACCATTCAGAAATTATTTATAAATTTTGCCAAATGCAGGATTGTATATTAAGAGATTTGCATTTTTCATACTTAACCTTTGCGATATATGATAATCTACTTTCAACCTTTTTCAGGATAGGATTTATAGCAGAAAAATACCTACATACTTGACGATGTGCGAAATACCTTCTACCTATTGAAAATAGTAGAAATGTTCATATTTGAAATCTACAGTGTGAAAAACAACCTTTTAGGTATGGAAAATCTCTACCGTTGAATTTCGTTAGTTTAACCGTTAAAAAGGGTAAAAATTTTCAGAATTAAAAATGAATAATTGCGATTGCAATTCCACGAAAGCAATTTTACCACTGTCCATATCAAGAAGGTCTGCAATACTGATTTCCTTGCTGCCTTTGAGCTTCACAGCACTCCCCCAACCATTACTGGCTAGAGAGAGGCACAGAAAAAATGACATCCCACTTGAAGAATATATCACCAGCCGTGAGTTTCTTTTGACAATTTTCCATTTTTTTAGTGATGCTAATGCTTTATTAGTTCAAGATTTTGCTTTTGTTTGAGGGAATCCTACTGTTTAGGATGTTGAATTGATGTCGTTATTTCATAATTGTTAAAGAAATTTGCAGTGCACTGGGATTTAGAAACCCCCGTGATTTTTTTTGATTCAGGTTGGAATTTTTTGGGGGTGTATGGTTTTTCAAAAGAAGGATGTTTGGTACCAATTAAAATTTAGATTTTAATTTAAGTCAAAGTTAACAATTAATTGTAACTATATTTTATGGATCCTACAACTTTTCAACCACTCATTCATAAACTTCTATCAAAATCTATTAAAATTTTGATTTTAATCTCTACCAAATAAGGACAGATAATATTTTAGGGCGTGGGGTGGTGGGATTTGAGGGGAGGGACAGGGAGAGGTGAGGTGGGTAATTATGTTTTATCTACTTAAATAACCCTAAGTAAGATTACATAAATAGACATTCTTTTAAATATTTTTTAAAACTAATTTTTTATTTTGTTCCACCACAAAAGTGAAACTTATTATTATTATTTTTTTTTGCAACCTTTTTCCTTTACCATGGACATGCTTTTCTTTTCCCTCGCTACATTTGTTTTTCTTTTTTTGGTCAGTAATTAATAAAATTAACTCGCCGTAGATACGAGTGGGTGGGGTAAATATGTGTGGACATAAAGATAAATCTATATGTATATAATTATTGTATATAATGGATTACATAGAGGCATGTTGAAGAAATCCAATCGTGGATGTGAAGTATGGAAAAGTCAAAAATTGTAGACTACCGATGGATACGCACAACATTTTAATTATGTAATGTATTATGTAAATGATTATGTACTTGTAGCATAGTCCGTTGACATAATTAGAAATGGGGTAAGGGTGGTGGAGGGGCTCTTACAGTGGGTGGAGTTGGTATTTCATTTGGTAAAATTAGAAATGGGCATTTACGGGTGAGGTGGGATAAGTTTTTGACTTTTTCTAGGTAGGATTAATGGGNTGGAGGGAGAATGGAAGAAAGGTAAAATTGAAAATGGATGAACACCATAATATTTTAAGTTTTAGTTTAATTTGGACTATAATTGTAAAATTAATGTGGTGTATTTATTAAAAATATAATTTATTTGAGGTATACTTATAATGTGGTGTAATAAATAATATTTGTAATGGTAATATAATTATTGATTATTTGTATGAAAATATAAAATTACAATTTTATCCTTTAAAAATGGAGAATAATATAAAGTTAAAGGTTTAGAATTGTCGATGTATAATTTGTCAAAAAATAAAAAGTTTGGGAGTGCAATTGCTATTATTTTAATTTTGACATTTTTTTTTACTTTTTAACGATTAAACTAACGAAATTGGAAGGTTGAGAGTTTTCCACAACTAAAAGGTTGTATTCCATAAAATAAAAGTTTCAAATATAGACATTTTCTGCTATTTCGAATATGTAGAGGTATTCTGCACATCGTAAGTATGTACAGAGTTTTCTGCTAATTAAGCCTTTAGGATAATTAATTCTCAACCTTTCAATCATATAGGAAAATTCGAGTTTTCCTTACTATTGAATGTCTTTTTCTTTAAATAAAATAAAAATAATAGAAAGCATTAAAATAAAAAATAAAATAAGAAAAATTGCAAATGTAATCTCATAACTTTTCATAAAGTACAAATAAATCTCATTTAAAACAATTAAATACGTTTTTATTTTTTAACACAAAAAATTTAGAAAAAAAAATTTCATCATCCCAACCAAGTAACCCCACCCATCCTAATCCACCCGAAGCCAAACACCACCTCCAAATCAAGAATGGCAATGTGCCGAGGTCAGTTTTATAAGCTATCTAGTGGCGTATTTCGAAAATTTATACGTAGGGCTGGATGGAGACCTATTGAGATTGAATGTGATCTAATGACACTCAAATGCTAGGATCACATCCCTTTGGTGTCCATGTGCCTCCAGTCGTGCTAACTTGGATTTCTGTTCCTACTGTTTTATTCATTAAAATGCAGAATTAAGAAAAGAAACTGTTGGTCACTCAATTTAAGATGAGTTTCATTTCAGTGACCAAAAAATTCCTTTTCCAACTTGAGTCTCCCCTCCCCTCCGATTCACTCATCTTCATTAATAAATTTAATGGATATACCAACGTAGCAAACCTACTATACGGCGTGGCTATCCTGGTAGGACGACCCATTAACCAAGTTTATAGTTAAGTGGCCAATGACACTTTTTGCCCCCTTTATAAACGCTAAACCGATAAACACATTGTTTTGATCTCCTTCAACAAGAAGCCAAATACCAAATGCCAACTCGAGGTGCAAAAGTTGGTGAATAGGGATTTACACCTCCTCTACCTCCGCAACTACTTAACTTGATTGGACCCTACTTATATACAGAACCTAGAAATTTAAACACAGTAATTCAACATGTATATGCAGCCATGAGAAGGACAGGTTCAATATTCACATAAAACTGGCAAAAAGTTCATTATGCTTATCTTCTCCTCAATCCTTCAATGTAAACCAAATCATATATATGGAAACAATTATCCCTTGAGCTCAATAAGAAATTCCGTGGCAAATGAACAAACATCAATCCTAATAAACTAGCAGACTGTTGTAAAAAATATGTGAATTATCAACATATCTTGTAGCTGCATCTTGCAGTAGCCAACTGATGTTATGCATGTAAAACCCAACTAAATAAAAGTGGAGCATAAAGAGTGTGAATAGGTTAAAAATTACTCGTGATTCAACCGTGCCTGCGTCTCTTGAAACTGTCCTCATTAAATGACTCCCATTTCTTGTGATCAAGGGCACTTAGATCATCAAGCTCCGCTATGGCAAGTAAATATTGAGTTAGCTTTACAAGTTCCTGATCGCTGTCTCGATTTGCATGGGCTTTTCTGAATGGTTTTATAACCAAGCCATTTTGTGGGTTCATCACAAAATTCCTTCGTAAATCATCAAACATTATACTGTTTTTGGCACTGTAAAACTGCAGACGTATGATATAGAGACATTATGTCAGAGAAGGTCATTATCCAAAATAAATATATGTTTTACTGGTCAAGGTTGAAAATAAGTGACTTATCTTGACATCAAGGGAAGAGTTACGAACAAAATAAGTAAAATATTTACTTAAATGCAAAAATAATATATTCAAATATGTTTCGATACAGAAGTTACTTTAAGCAAGGCCAAAAATGACTTCAATTTGTAAGATGTGATATTCACTCGAGATCAAGGCCAGTTTCTACCTTTTCTTGGAAAAATATTCATGAATAGGAATATGTGCTCTTTCAAAAGCCATGCAAAAATTGCATTTCAAATACTTAGATAGAAACTTAGCAAATGAGACATAGAAGTCAAAAAAATGTAATCGAACCTCGGGAAAATGAGCCCAAATCAACCCGAGCGGTTTGCAATCAAAGACCCCACGAGTATCTGATCGAACAGTGATCATTGCCATATGATCAAGCAGAGCTGTAATTTTGTAGTTTGGATTATTGAGCACTCCAAGTTGCCCCATCTTTAACTCAACCCACTTCATACTGAAGAAATGAAATAAATACATTGAAGTGACAGGATTACTCAAAAAATAAACATATACGCGCACACACAGGGCATAATGGTAAACCAGAAAACCAATAACTTATCATACATACAAAATTATGAAGTTTAAAATGTTTTCATTACATTAACCTATAAAGCAAGGACAGTCAGAGACATGGCGGACACATGAACATGTGATTTTTCAGAAAAGCATGACACAGACACATCACTTGTCATATCTAAATTCTTTGAAGTTTTAGATTTATATATGTTATATCTTTATTTCGTACTCTCTTAAATATAAGACATGGCACACGGCATTTCAAACACTTAACCGAGGAGTCTCCCTAAAGTATCCATCTAGCAACGTAAATTTAAAAAATAGAACATAGCATGTGGATTGTCAGATACATGTCTTTAAGTGTCTGAGTCATATCAGTATCCAATGTGTCATCTAGCACATCACGACATGACATGTGTCGGACACATACATGCCACCTAGCAAGAGAATCCATGCTTTATAGATTTAACACTCTCTCTCAATATTTAAGTCCTCATAAAACAATAGCCAATCAAAAATTTCAATAGTGTAACAAAAAAAAAAATGTCACAGATTTAATAAATCTCAAAATGACTGCAATAAAATGCAGCTAATATAGTATTCTTCCTATTAAGATGGCTACATGAGTAAATTAATTAATACATAAATACTTGGTCCACATCGATATGAAAATCTTCTCACTTCTCAAGAGTGTTTTGGGTTGGTGCACTCAACTTTGAATGACTCTCTCCTGTATAATAAAGCTAGAAAATTCAAAAGTGCATTTTGTGGCTCTTCTAATTCAAAGTGGAAGACAGTTGTAGACTATATTGAGAGAGAATGATTTGGAATGGACAAATTGAAGCCCTCTTGGCCTCATCAGACACTCAACAGCTTCCTAAAGTGCATTTGTTCCTCAGCAGCAAGCCCAACACAATCCTCTATCCATCTATTAAGAGGAAGCCTCACACTGCCTACAGTCCCACTGCTGCTGATGGTATGCCACTGTTACTGCTAATTTTCCTGTTTCACTAGCACAACCTAGACCCTCTGCGGGAAAAGAAATATCTTACAAGAGAAACTGTATGTGCTGCCAAAATCAGAGCATGTTGGAGTGCCTTGAACACCATTTAAGGTGGGTGCTCGCCCATGATCGGCTGTGTTCTGGCACGAAGGCAAGGGGCATGAGAGAAAAGAAACAATGGTTCCATATTTTTCAATTGAGAATTAGGAAATTATTTGGTCAACTCTTTTAATTAGCTTGAGTTTGGAAAAGAGCATATTAAGATGTATACAATGTAAACATGGGCATTCCAAAAATGTTTGTTGATCAAGGATTCAAAGCCATTAGGATGTAAATCAATTGCAAAATAATTTCTATGGAAGAAAATATTTCTCTCTCTGTCTAATAATTTTAGTTAATTCCTTTATAAATAGTGGCTTTTAATGGTAATTTCCAAAAAGTCAAGTTTATAAACATAAGGTATAACAATGATACCTTTGTATTAAATTGTCTTTTAGTGCGTGTAAAATGGGATGATATGATATGATAAATTTGAATTCTCTAAATGAAGCTATTTTACAAGTGCCTTCAGCTAAGACAAGCAATTCCAAGCTCATTCCACAAAAGGTTTGAATTGATGGATAATAAATAATGGAAAAAACTTGACCTGGTCGCAGACCATATCATGATGTCATACTCTGCGTAAACGGCCGATAGAAATTCATGAAGATCTGTGTCAAGTAACAGAATAATAAACAGCATAGCAGGATTGGCAAATAAAGACGAAAAATGTTTGAGATAAATAAAAACACTTACAAGGCCGCATAAGTTCTAGTGGGTTCTCTGCCGTCGACCGGTGATCAAACAAGGTATAATCAATGTCCAGAACAAGCAGCTTTTTACCTTCTCGGCACGGGTTGAGAAGTTCAATCTGGCATTAGCACTCAACGTCATCATAACAAGGAATAACAAACTAAAATTTAGATTATTAAAGCAAGAAGTAAAAATTAATTACAGGAATCATTTTGCATATGTACTGGGCACATAGCATGCCAATCTCATTTCAAACATTTAATGCTATCAGAACTAAAAAGATGGGGATAACTGACCTTATACTGCCCAATACGCCGCCTCAATTTCTGTTTATTTACTTCATTATCCTTAATGTCAACTGCTTCAACTTGTCCAATTTCAAAATCATCAATAATCTCTGGAGAGTCCACTGGATCCACAATTAGTTCATCTTCAACAGTACTGTAAATCAAATAAAAATTTTACACATTACCTCACATCACATAAAGCATTAGAACTTAATCAAGAACATGCTGGTGCCAAAGCACAAAGTCTATTTATGAAATCTGCATTCTTCCTGGCAAGGACTTCATAGAAGATTCTATAAGATTAATTTTCCTGGGAAACTAGAATCAGTCATTCTATTAGAACCTTGGCAATGTATAGCTAACTGAGACCATGATTGAAATATAAAAAATTTTAAATTGTTATTAGAGAAGAAAGTTGACTTCGACTTGGGACACATATCTGATGGGATAAAAATAACATATCAAGTGATGGTTTGATCTTGAGCGTCCATTTTCTATAAGAAGCTCGCACACAGGCATTGACTCACCAAAACTCCAAATATTGATAAAATAAGATACGGCCTCACCAACAAGGCAATGATAAACAACCATAAATGTGCATTCACATACAAAGGTCATAAGTTACAAACTGTACGATCATTCTTCCGAGCTGATTATGAACAAACACCAAAAAGCCCAACACATCATGGCCATGTAAAATCTATTCATTAGGCTTTGTTGTTCATCCAGATTTTATGGGACAGCAGAATTATTCTCCTAATTGAACCAATTCATTGAACCTCTATGTTGTTGTACACCCGCAATCCATAGAAAAAATTTAGCTGCAAAAGCCTTTGTTTGGGTATAGCTTATTCCACGATCTTTCCTCTTGGCTCAAAATGACAATGCTAATATAAGGCAAAGAGTTTGATCGTTCAACTTTTTTCTTAAGCATTCATTATAACTTACAGTAATCGTAGAACTATCTTTATCCACACCGTGAAAGGGCCACAATTAAAGAGGAAAAAACAATTTCTTTGGCAGCAACGATCTCTTGAAGATATTGGGACCAAAATCATTAACCATTGACTTGTGTGTTATAACTAGAAAATCCATAAAACATACAACTCTAAACAAGGATGGCTCACTTAACTATCCTAAGTTATATTTTCCCTTTCTTGGTCACCTCTCCTGCTCGTGATCCCAACGTTGTCAGTCAATACAAGTACATGACAATTTTTATCTGCAGTCTTTGGGTTTTGAATACCATGAATACACTTAACACAAACCAGGATGCAAAACGATCCAGTAAACAAAAATCCAGAATATTTACTCCAAAATGACTAACAACTTGGAACAGAATACAGGCAACGACCCTTCAATTAATCCGAAGAGAACGATAAAAACTACAAGAAAATTCCATTATTAAGATCTTAGAATACAACAAAGCAATGTCTAGTCATAAGATTCCCAGGAAAATATCAAAACTTCATTTAAAAGCCATCAACTAAAATTCGTAAATAACCACTAATAAGTAGATATGCAAACAGATACACGTGAGCGTGCGTACGTGTGCGTGGAAGAGGTAGGGGGGCACGGACCCAACCATGGTCATTTTGAGGGAGGCTTTGAGTGGGATTTGCGAGAGAAGGAGAGTATCATCCGCGAGTTTGGTACCGACTTTAGGGTAGAGAAGCTTCTGGCGTTTGGGCAACACATTTGTCGCCTCACAAATACGCCGCTTCAGCTCTCCCACCGTGTCGTCCCCGCAGACTCTAACAGTGTACTCCTTCCCGCTCCATTTTACCGTCAGAGTCAGCTCCTCCTCCATCACTGGGGACACTGCCACAACCGCCGAAGACGAAGACGAAGACGAAGTATCACTCGCCATTTCGATTAAAAATAGTATAATGGTTAGCTTGAACGATCTTTTATTGCCGTTGAAAATAATGTTCTGCAATAATGCTAAGAATAATGCTAAATGCACGTCTCCCTCACATCATTGTTTGCGTGTCTTTATTTTCAAAAAATTGCATACGAAAAAAGTGATTTTTTTAAAAAATTCTTCAATCATGTCTTATCACCTGATAGAATGTAAATTATCCTTACTTTTCCTATCCTATCCTACCAGCACCGGTGCTCATCTTATTATAATCTGACTAAGTATGAAACATCCTAATTTCTTGAAAACTCAAATGTTACTAAATCAAAAAAATTTATATATATCGAACAATATAAATATATATATATATATATATATACAGAAATGATCTAATGAGCACCGGTGTTCATCTTATCCTAAGTACCAATGAGTTGGCACATTAATTCATTGGTGGATCTTTATCCACCAATGAATTAATGTGAGTGATCCACCAATGAATGCTCATTAGATCATTTCTGCCTATCCTACATAATAAAAACAGTCAGTTTGTGTGCCACTGTCCATAAGCCGTTTGGCTAACTTGGCTGAGCCATTTTGGAGCCGTTGGTTAGCCGAGCCATATGGACTTTTTATGCATTTATTTTCCTTTCTTCTGACTTTCTCCACTTCTCAAAGTAACGTCCATACTTCATACTTCTTTCCTTCATTCTCTCAATCGGTTTTTCTAGATCCTTCTCTCTTTCTCGCGATTTCGTTCATGGGCCCAAAGAAAGAAACCCTAGAAATCGTCTTCTCACATTCTTCACTCTTTCACAGAAATTTTTGCTGATTCGAGCTTCAATTTTTTTTTTATTTTTTATGTTTATATTTCTTTGGTTCGATTTTCGCTGTTAATGGTTTGACAAGAAGTGGAAGTCGCGACAATTCCTCCTTCGTTTCTCAGCTCCTCCTCTTCCTTTACGTCCGGAAGCAAATTCAAATTTCCTGTCAAAACCTCACTTCCTGTCAAATTTTGGCAAATGATTAGTTTTGTTTGTGTTACCCCGTTATGACCCTCTTGTCCCAATCTCATTCCACGCTTCACAAACCCGGGTATTTTTTTTCCAGTATTTTCAAATTTATATTGTGAAGTTTTGTTTGTGTGTTTAGGCGATACCCTTCTGAAATCTCGATAAAAATTTGCTCCTTTTTTTTTGTTCGTTTTTAGAAATAGTTAATATTTGAGTAGTTTCTTCAATTTATATTTGTGCAAGACTCTTGGCGGAGTCGTGCCTGTTTCTGTTGAGCAACGTTGGTGGTATGAAATGGGGCATAGGGGCTTAATCTTGGAGGGGTTCTGTGGGTTCATTCGAGCCGGGTTTTGAGGAATATGGATCAAATGGTAGAACATAGTGAAAAAAGTTCTGCTATGGGCGATTGGTCGAGTGAAGTTAAAAGAAAGGAGAGGAAAAAGCTCAAGGGAAAGAGAGCAGTGATGCGGAGGTTTCTCTATATATTATCCTAAATTCTTTTAGTTATTTCAAAAATAGGATCTTGTGCTTTCTGTTAAATTTTTCATTTTGGCAGGAAATTAAAGTTCTCAACTATCTGAAGCATCTAAACATTTTGCAGTATTATGGAAGTGAAATTGTAAGTCATTATCTTGAAGCTCAGATTTCTACTTTAGGTCTGTATACACACTCTCACGTTTTACATATATCTTGAATATGTTCATCCTGGTTCAATCACTAATTTCATCCTGACCATTGTGGAGCTTGGGCTGTACCATAATTGAAATGATGAATGGAAAACCCCCTTGGAGTGAGCACGACGGGGTAAGCTCCAGATGATGATCGATATGATAGTTTTGTGATATCATTTACCTGGCAGACATTTTGAATACAAAAATGTGGCTATGATTAAAAGCCATCCTCATTATAGTTATTCCAGTGACTTTATAAGTAGTATTTAGTTCCAAAAGGTGGGTTTATGCTATTGATGATATAAGGATATCCAATGCGATTTTAGAAGTACTTTGGCTATGGAAAATGGTATACTGCTCAGATGAGACTTCATTCTTCAAAGGCTATAGCTTGTTGACAATTGTTTCGTTGGTTGTTTTGATGTAGTAATTTATTAGGTATTTTGATGATTTTTATTGTTTTAAGCTATTTTAGTGTTTTATAAAGTGGTCATCTCTCAGTGCTTCTTAATTTTTCTACATTTACAAGCAGGTATTCTATTCCTTAGGCATGGATGTCGAACAGGAAGGATGATCTATGATTAGCCAATGTATTTATTGTTGTTGGAAACATTGTTGATCTAAATATAACACCTTATCTTCTGATGATTTCACATGGTGACCTTTTAGAAAATTTCACGAAAATGCAGTCGGTTTACTTCCTGTATTAGCTGGAACAGTTATTTGAGTAATAATTTTTATATGAACATGTACTCTTGAGTTATATGTTGGACTTGTGGCTTTGTCAAGCTTTAATCTGCTTGTTTACTTGTTCATCATATTAATATACATTGTGCTATCTGGATTGGCAAGTCTGAACGCATTCAGCAACATTATGACATCTTTTATTTATAGCCTTACTGGTAATTTTATTTTGATACTCGTGATACATAACAATTTTTCTCCTATTTTTTTTTTTGTTTTTTAGAAATGTTTTGGTTACCCCTAGGCATAGAATTGTACCCTTTTTTCAGTCGAAAGCTTCTATGATTGAGGAAGATTTTTACTTTCACTGGGTCTTTTTTGACATTGGATTGTTTTGAATATGAAATTTTATCTAAGGAATTGATATAGTGTCACGTTAAAATTTTTTATTTAACTTGCATCTTCCTGTCAGATTTCCATTAGGTTGTGCTGCCAACGTGGCCAAGGTTTTTTCTTAATTTTATCTTGTTATGTGGTAGATTACTAGATGTGAAGTTGGGGCAACTTGATGTTTTGTTGTTGACATGTTAGATAGAATTGGCTTATATGTATAATTACTTCTTATTTGGGGGTTCAATCTATGTCCATGCTAATTAATGGGAATCTTTTCTCATGAGAGTGTATCTGATGGCACCCTAATTGAAAAAGCTTATATTCTGTTCTGTGAAAACCTTGAACCTCTCAGGATCTCTCTGTGTTTGCATATGGGTAATGGGGGCTTGAAGGAGTTTCCATGGACTCTACAACCGTAGACCTATAAACAATGCAATCCTATGCATCCAAGGAAGATTTTTGTCAGGTTGGATGAGTGAAATCAATGGCAGGGACTCGGTTTGCCATGTTTAATTGCCACTGGACTCTGTAAATGTAAATTACTAAACATGTTTCCTGTTTAATAGATTTACAATCACACTATTAAATATCCAACTACGCTGGTAGCACGTGCATTAAACGTGCATCCGACTAGTAATATAAAAAATAATGAAAATCACGTGTTTTCTATCACATCACATCATAAAATGCATTTTCTTCTGCATAATGTGCATCAAAATAATGAACATGTACCGTGATTGGACCATCACCACCATTCTGCACCACCAAATCAAAGGGAATTTCCTCCCTTCGAATTTTGAAGTATATATTAAAATAGTATTCTAAAAAATGTAATGCGTGATTAGACGAAAAATCAAATTTCAAGTTTTACGAGTTTCGACGTAAACAATTATTTTTTTAATTATCATAAAACTATTAAATAAATTTGCTGGATACTAGTGTAACTTTTAAAATTTCAAATCTACTGTCATTACCTTTTTTATACCCCTATAGTGGTCTTGATCATAAACATGTCATCCATCTTAAAATTTTAATAAATTTTGACAAAAAAATATTGAAAATTTGTGAATACTATGAAATGTGTGGTTAAAATTAATTATTGACTTTAACTTATTTTTGTTATCAAATTTTATTTACAGGTGTATTTGATGAATATTATTGAGAAAAAATGTATTTTAAATAGTGATATGATAGAAAATATGTGGTTAAAAAGTAATGAAAAGTTATTGATGTGATGAAAAATATTATTTTATTGAAAAATGTGTGGTTGAAAATAAGTTTTTAAAGAATATATTTTGAAATAATATGTACCAAACAAGGACTTAATGATGAAATTGGAGAAAATATTGAGAAAAAATGTATTTTAAATAGTGATATGATGGAAAATATGTGGTTAAAAAGTAATGAAAAGTTATTGATGTGATGAGAAATATTATTTTATTGAAAAATATGTGGTTGAAAATAAATTTTGAAAGTATGTATTTTTAAAGAATGTGTGTCAAACAGAAGCTACACCAAATAGGGACTAAATTGACTTTTACACTATAGTGGAGATTTGCAAATTCATTCCAAGTGCGAAGTATAATAAGGGTCGGTTTGATTGGAAATGCGGAAAATTGGTGGAAAGAAAATAAATTTTAGGGAATTGAATTGCCTAGAAATTATTTTACTGGAAATTGTAATTAATTGTGTTTGATTGGTATAATTTTTCACCTGAAAAATATTGAAATTTGGTGTCCGTTTGGCTTTATTTTTCATTGAAATTGTCCATTAAACTGATAATTTTTTTACCATTGGGTCTAGAATTTGTTCCAATTACAAAAAAATAATAATAATAAATTTAAATTATCATACCAAATATCATTTGTTTGGCATTGTTTTGTATGGAAATTATCAATAAAAGTAATATTTTTTTTATTATTGCGACTAGAATTTATTCCAATTGTCAAAAAAAAAAAAAAAAAAAAAAATTTAAAAAAAAATATTACTATACCGTCAAGTGGGTGAGTGACATCCAATACTCCTCCTCAAGCTGGATCAAAGGGATTAACTGAGCCAAGCTTGAAAAGCAACCGATGAAACTGAGTGAATGGCAGAGCTTTGGTAAAAAGGTCTGCAAGTTGATCTTAGCTGCGAGTATATTGAGTTTGAATCACCTTGGACTGAACTTGAGCACGAATGTAATGGCAGTCAACCTCGATGTGTTTGGTCCGTTCATGAAAAACAGGGTTAGAGGCAATGTGCATAGCAG